TAGGTTTTGTCCTTTTTCTTCCTCTATATTTTGAAATCTGAGATAGAATTCTGACCTGTCCATCTCCCACTTCAGCATCCCACTTTTATCTTGTTCAACCACTGTTAGTCTGCTGTCAATGTTTCCAATCTTCTCCTCTCTTTGTTTATCTTCTTCTTCAATTTTTTGGAATCTCTCATCATACTTCGCCATCATTTGTTGAATATTTTCAATTTTTTCATCGGTCTTCCCTGTTCTTTGCTCAATGTTCTCTATTCTTTGTTCAATGTTCTCTGTTCTCTTTTCAATGGTGTCTGATTTTGTCTTAAGATCTTGGATTCCTTGCATAATCATCTGTAAAGTCACCTTTTCTTGCTCTTTGTCTTGCTTTAACATTGTTTGGATTAAATGTTGTCCTCCAGATGGTGGGGAGGCGGAAGTAGAAGTTGAGGCAGCAGAAGGTATGAGTTTCCTACTCATTTTCAACGATTCAAAATCTTCAAGTTCTTTTAAATCTTAATCCAATTAGTAAGATAGACAATTATAATCCAAAATGGAGGATAAAAATAGTAAAAAATGAAAAGCCCAATAGTAGTAAGAAAAGAAAGAAAAGAAAAAGTTTTTCAGGTTCTTCTGAACCTTAATCCAATTAGAAAGTAATTGATTGTAATCCAAAATAATGGATAAAAATAGGAAGAAGAAAAAGGCCCAATAATAATAAGAAAAAAATAAAAAAAAATAAAAAAAGAATAAAAAAAATAAAAGAAAAGTTTCTTCAGGTTCTTCACACCTTAATCCAATTAAAAAATCTCAGTTATAATTAAAAAACAAACAAACCATAAGAATAAACCAAAAACATGGATGGAAGAAGCAAAAGTCCCAATAAAAAAAGGAGAAAGGAAAAATTCTGAGGCTTTCCCTTTAAAATAAAAGGGAACATAAAAATATTACAAAAATAAAAGTTTACAATGGAGCTGGTGGGGGGGGGGGGGTAGCACAACTAAAAGAAAATAAAAAAAACACTGCACTTTATTTAATTATCCAAGGCTCTTGTTATGACTCTCTTCTCCATAAGCTTCAAAGCCAAGCTTCAAGTATTTAGTTATTGATAAAAGTCCAGAAGAGCACCTGTAATAACACTCACCCGTGCTCTTCCCTCTATCTTATCGTTACAATGTCCTTGAGAAGGAGTCTTTCAGAGTTCTCTCAACTTCAAATAAAATATTTTCAAGTCTCTAGTTGGCAGTGTTACAAAGTTTCTTTGTTCTCACTTCCCCCCTCCTTTCCCAGTGAAAACGTAATAGAGGTTAAAAAAGAAAAGAAAAAGAGAGTATATACATATATATATATAAAAAGAAAAATAACTAAAGGGAGCCTCTAATCTAAAAAGTTAAAAAATCAAAAAGGAGAAGAGAAAAAAAGAATATATATAAAGGAAAAATCAGTCCAGTTAACAACTGCTAAGTCACAATGAAAGTCCAGTAAAAAAAACATAAAAAAATAAAAAGCCAAGCCTCACTTTGACATCTCTCTTTAAAAATCGCCGCTTATCCAATTTTGTCAAGAATCTTACAGATTTCTTCTTATTCTTAGAGTGTCCTTTCAAGTCTCAAGATATTAGTAAAAAAAACAATCTCACCCAGCCGATACACTTTCTCTTTCGATCTCTTCCTTTCCGGAGCTGTCCCAACTTCAGCAGCTTTGGGGCTGCCTCTCCGCCGCCGGCAAAAGGGACTTCTCCTGGATCAACCAGGGACTTTGCGATGTCCCTGGGATCCACAGGATGTGCCCCTCACTGTCACCGTCCCTACAGGACGGTTTAGGTCCGTTTGGACCGGCCAGGGGTGAAGATATCGGCTGCAATCTTGGAGCTCGATTGCAGACTGTACCGTCGCGACGCCAGCTCCTCCCCTCTCCTCGATAGCTTGATGTTTTTATGTTTTGTTTGTTTATGTTTGTTTTTAAAAACCAATAATTTTTTTTTAAAAAAAGGCATTAAGAGTTGTAAATCTAATCTTACGAAGCTTCTCCTCCAGTAATATTGAATTGCTAACTAGGGCATAAAAAACCTTTGCTAGACCAATATTTGAATACAGTTCATCTGTCTGGAATCCACACTGTATATCGGACATTAATACAATTGAACAAGTCCAGAAGTCCAGAAGTAATTCACGAGAAGAGTACTACACTCCTCTGCTCGCAACAGAATACCCTATATCACCAGGCTTGAAATTTTGTGCTTGGACAACCTAGAACTACGCCGCCTATGGTTGGACTTAAGCGTAGTACACAAAATTATCTGCTACAATGTCCTACCAGTCAATGACTACTTCAGCTTCAACTGCAACAATACAAGAGCACACAACAGATACAAACTCAATGTAAACCACTCCAAACTTGATTGCAGAAAGTACAACTTCAGCAACAGAGTGGTCAGTGCCTGGAATGCACTACCTGACTCATCCTCTAACCCCCACTCCTTTAACCTTAAACTATCCACTATTGACCTCACCCCATTCCTAAGAGGTCTGTAAGGGGTGTGCATAAGTGCACAATGGTGCCTACCATTCCTGTCCTATTGTCCCCATTTATTTGTACCTATTTCCTGTAAGAACTCATGTTTATACTTATTCCTATTATCTTGTAAGTGATTGACAAATCAAATAAATAAATAAAATAACTAAACTAAACTAAACTAAACTAAACTAAACTAAACTAAACTAGCTTGTGGTACCTGAACACACTTGTCAGTGGATCATAAGCTTCCTAAGAGACAGGAAGCAGCAGGTGAAGCTAGGCAGAATCACATCTGATATCATAAGTCATAATTGTGATGATTATGGCTTACAGCTCATGAAAACCCAAAATCCACAATCTCAGAAAATTAGAATATTACATGGAATCAATAAAACAAGGATTGTACATATGAAGTGGAATGGAAAATTACCAGAAAAGTATTCTTATAATTAGCAGAAGTTTCTTAGCTTTGCTTAATACAATATTGTGTAAACCACGAAATTACTAAACCTAAGAACTAGACATGTTCCTGTAAACAAGGGTGGGTATGGAAAATAACAGATGGTGTAAGATAAGAAAAAATGACTAATTAGACTTACTTCTCTTTTCTGTAGTACATAGGTTATGGTATAGCTTGATAAGAGAAACGCCCTGGGCTAGGCTGAGGCTGTGAGCTGTATAAAAGTAACACCTCAGGAAGAATTTGCCATGCTAATGCTCTGAACCTTTTGCGCAAATAAACCTGTATTCTCCTACCCTTCGTGGTCTTGTGTCCTGATTTGGAAACAGGATCTGCTGCAACATTTATGGAGACCCAGATGGGACACAAGGGGCCCTGAGGCCCGCTAGAGGGTCCACCCTGGGTGCCGGTGCTTCGGTGAGTTGAACGGAACATCCCAGGTGCCATCGGTCCTTTGAATCCGAGGGACTTCCTAATACTGCTGTGTTCTGGCGACCGCGGTTGACACCTCCAAGAACCACTGGTGAAGGGTAAGGAGACCAGGACATCTTCCAGCTGGCCAGTGGAGAAGGAACACGCCTACAGGCAAGTATTGGACTTGGGAAACAATCCCTCCCTGTAAGCAGGGACGGAGGAGAGGATTGATCACCCTCTCTTAAGCAAAGGTGGGAGGACTTGTCAGGAATGATTGAGGTGAGCTACTGCGGTTCCCATTGGTGACTGTGAGTGTCCAGCACCGTGGGCCAGTAGAAAACGAGTGGCATCTGCAGTTCCCATTGGAGACCGTGTGCACCCGGCTTCCTGGGTCAGATGTGAGTCTGTGGAAATCCCTGGTGTTACCAAGAGAGGAAGGACCCCATACTTTCTTCTAACCCCTCTTCCCAATTGTCTTGTCTGGTGACCTGGGTGGCTCATGGGAGGTGGAGAAATTGTGCCCCTAACCCCATTGGGGTGTATGCTAAAACACTTTAAGGAAGCATATGAATCTCAGGACTATGGTCTTAAGTGGCGTAGACATAAACTGCAGGTGTTTTGTGAGGGAGAATGGCCAACATTTGGAGTGGGATGGCCAGCCATAGGAACTTTGGACAGCTCCATAGCAGTACAGGTTCATCAGTTAGTATTCCATCCTACATTAGGACACCCAGACCAAGCTCTGTACATAGATGTTTGGCTTGACCTATTAAACCTCCCTCCACCATGGCTCAAAAAATTCAAAATACAACGGTGCAGGCTCCTAGTGTCACGAACTTTACCATTGACCAAACTAAAGAAGTCCACCCCAGTCATGCCTAGCTGCCCAGAAGAACTACCGCATCCACTCCCATATGTACCCCCTCTTGGCTTAAGAAGGATGTCAGATGAGGGAGAATCTTCTGGGGCATCGGGATTAATAGCCTGACTAGACCGGATATCCCCCTTCATGAGAAGCCCCGGGGATCCACCAGATACGATAGATCGATCGGCCCAAGCCAACCTTTCGCCCCCGGGGACCTCTGCCCAGGTAGACTCCCAGGAAGAACCCCAGGTAGACCCTAAACTAGAGGCTGAACCAGTGGCAGCAAGGACAAGAGCAAAAACAGAACAAACGTCTCTGACAGCACCGCTTAGGCAGGTTGACCAGCTTGTAACAGATCATGAGGACCCCACAGCATCGGTCACCTTACCATTGTTCCAACATGTACCATTCACTACGTCAGATTTACTTAACTGGAAACTACACTATGGCCCCTTTAGTGAAAAACCTACAGAAGTAGCAGATTTAGTGAAAACCATAGTGGATACACACAATCCCACTTGGATGGATCTCCAACAACTTATGGGGACTCTTTTTAACCCGGAAGAAAGGGAAAAGATAAAGAATGCAGTAACTGAGATATTAAAGCCTGATGTCAGGGCAAATGGAAATCTAGCAGCACATGTTGAGGCTCACTTCCCATCCCAAGATCCTAAATGGAATCCTTACAACCGTATGGACCATTTACGAGACTGCCAGTCAATAGTTGTGTGAGCCATCCGTTTGGCAGGAAAACCTACAGTGAATATGTCAAAACCCTCCCTGGTGCTGCAAGAGCCCACCAAAAGTCCTGAAGCATTTTATGCCTGTCTTATTGACGCTTACCGCATGTATACTCCCATAGATCCCACTGATCCGGCGAATGCCCGAATGTTGACAATGGCATTTATCTCACAAAGTGCCACAGACATACGCCGTAAATTACAAAGACTTGAGGGAGCACTAGGTAAGCCCATGAGCGAGCTAATGGAGGTGGCGAGGAAGGTTTTTGTAAACAGGGAAAAGGAGGAAGAGTGGAAGAAAGATCAAAAATTGCAAAGAAAAGCTGAATTAATGGCGGCAGCTATGATGTGGACCCCAAAAGATAGAGGAGGCAGCCGAGCAAGGGGCAACAGATCAGGGTTAGGATGTAACCAGTGTGCTTTCTGTAAGAAGGAGGGACACTGGAAGGGTGAGTATCCAGAAAGGAACAAAGATGAGAGGCTAGATGGAAGAAAAGGGAATTTCTGAGGAGGCCTCTGAGGACCCCCAAGAGGAAGCCGGGGTGGGCAAGGCTACAGGAAAGGATTTGAAAGAACCCCTCTCATAGGCTTGTCAGAGGTGGAAGAATGGGACTGAAACCGACCGGGTTCAGATTGCCTCCCAGAACCTATGGTCCGGCTAAATGTAGGAGGCAAACCAATTACCTTCCTAGTGGATACTGGAGCCACAACGTCAATCCTAACCCAGCCCCTAACACAGGCCTCCCCCCACACTATCAACATCCAGGGGGCAACAGGAAGTATTTCACAGCATCCCTTTTTGGAGCCCCTTGTGTGCACAACTAAAGGACAAACCATAACACATCAATTTGTGTCTATGCCAGAATGTCCTATCCCACTCTTAGGGAGGGATTTGTTGTGCAAACTTCGAGCTCAGATCTCCTTTGAAGAGGATGGAACAATGACACTGGGATATGGGAAGATAAACGTAACAATACCCAGAGAAGAAGAGTGGAGGTTCATGGTGGCCAGGGACAAGGGACGGGGAGATGAGGATGAATGGAAGCAATTCAATGTTCCACATTTGTGGGCTGAGGATAACCCCCCAGGCTTTGCCAGTCACCACCCTCCCATCATAGTGGAAGAGCTACCAATGAAAGCGCCTGTCAGAATTCGACAACGGGCATACCCCAGGCACATTATCCAAGCAATACAAGAAATTATTGATCTATACTTGAGATACCATATTCTGGTGCCCACCAAATCCAAATGGAATACCCCAATATTGCCCATTCCAAAGGGGGAAGGTAGGTTTAGGCCAGTTCAGGACCTCAGGGTCGTTAATTTGGCCACTGTAACCATCCAATCCGGTCGTCCCAAATCCATATGTCATTTTAGGCTTGATCCCCCAGACTGCTAGGTGGTTCTCAGTCATAGATTTAAAGGATACTTTCTTTACAATACCTATACACGAGAGCAGTCAGCACTTATTTGCATTTGAGTGGGAAAGCCCTTTAACTGGTAGGAAGCAACAGTATACATGGACCAGATTGCCCCAAGGGTTTAAAAACTCACCTACCCTTTTTGGGGCTGCCTTGGCTAAACACCTAGAAGCTTTGACTATACCCGCTCCTGATGTGGTGTTGCAATATGTGGATGATCTGTTGGTTACTGGCCACACGAAAGATAATTGCTGGAAAAACACACACGAGTTGTTACTCCTATTGCAAGACCTGGGATATAAGGCCTCTAAGAAAAAGGCACAGTTGGTTTTAGAAAAGGTCCAATATTTGGGCTATGATATAGGGGAAACGTACAGGGGAAACGTACCTTAGGTCATGAACGTAAAAAGGCTATATGTCAGCTCCTGACACCTAACAACAAGAGGGACTTGAGAGGGTTTTTGGGAGCCGCAGGTTTTTGTCGTATCTGGATCCCTAATTTCAACCTCACTGCAAAACCCCTTTATGAAGCTACCAAAGGGCAGGATAAGGAGCCGCTACAGTGGGGAACACAGGATGCCACTAGTTTCCGGTTTGCTCAAGCAAGCGCTGTTGCAAGCCCCCAGCCTAGGCCTCCCGGATTTGGATAAACCTTTTCAATTATTTGTAGATACTAAACAGAATGTAGCAGTAGGTGTCCTCACCCAGACCATGGGAACATGGCATCGCTCTGTAGCTTATCTCTCTAAACAGCTGGATAACGTTGCAAAAGGATGGCCTGCGTGCCTTAAGGCTGTAGCTGGGATGGCTATCTTAACTCAGGAAGCAAGTAAACTGACTTTTGGACAACAGCTTGACATTTACACTCCCCATGCCCTTAAATCAGTTCTGGAAACGAAGGGCCATTTGTGGCTAACCAACCCCCGAATGTTGAAGTACCAAGGCTTAATCACTCATAATCCTATGATTAATATTATACAATCCACTGCATTAAATTCTGCTACATTGTTGCCTGAACCAAACTCAGAAGCCATTCACGATTGTATCCAAACAATAGAGGAAACATATGCCAGCCGCCCTGACATGACTGATGTACCCCTTCCTTCTCCAGATTACACCCTATATACGGACGGTACCAGCTTCATACAGGAAGGAATTAGACGGGCAGGGTATGCAGTGGTTACTTTGGATGATGTTTGGGAAGCAGAACCCCTCCCTTCAGGCACGAGTGCGCAGTTGGCTGAATTACATGCATTAACTAGAGCTTTAGAGCTGGCAAAAGGCAAATGTGTCAACATATATACAGACTCTAAATATGCTTTCCTCACGGTTCAAGTCCATGGTGCCCTATATAAGGAAAGAGGACTTATCACCGCAGGAGGCAAGGATATTAAGTATGGCCCCCAAATACTACGCCTCCTAGAAAGTGTATGGGCCCCACAGAAGGTTGCAATCATACACTGCCGAGGACATCAAAAAGTGGCCTCCGATATACAAAAAGGCAACAATAAAACAGATAGATTGGCACGAGAGGCGGCTCAAAGGGCTCCAACGATACTATCACAATGCCTTACTGTATGGAAGCCACACAAACACCACCAACCACATTACTCCCAGGAAGACATGAACCAAATTGAAGCACTTGAGGCTCAACTGGAAGGAGGCTGGTGGATCCTACCAGACAACCGGGTTTTCATGCCGGGGCATATGGCTTGGGACGTAGTACAGCAAGTACACAAGCAGCTGCACCTAGGAAAAACGGCTTTAGCAAAGGCTTTGCAAAGGGAAGTTTATATTAACAAAATACACAGCATTGCAGCAAACGTCCGTGCTAGGTGTGAGATTTGTGCAGCTAATAACCCTAGACAAGGGCCCCAACCACCACCAGGCCATCAACCAAGGGGCAGTTACCCGTTTGATTCTCTGATGATCGACTTCACAGATATGCCCCCCTCGGGCCACTACAATGCACTGCTTGTCATTGTATGTACCTACACGGGATGGCCTGAGTGTATCCCTACCCGCACAAAGAAGGCTACTGAAGTTGCCAGGGCACTACTCCACATCATAATCCCTAGATATGGCCTACCTTCTAGAATTTCATCAGATAATGGTCCTGAGTTTATCCACAAGGCCACTCAGCACCTAGCTAAAATATTGGTTATTACTTGGAAACTCCATTGTAGCTTCCATGCTCCCTCTGGAGGCAGGGTTGAGAGAATCAATAGGACTATTAAGGAAAAATTGGCCAAAATATGTCAGGAAACCCACCTTAAATGGCCAGATGCTTTGAGTTTGGCTCTGGTTGCTGTCAGGTGTGCTCCTCAGAAAGGTGTCTCACTTTCACCATTTGAGTTATTATATGGCCGGGTCCCCAATCTACTTCATCTAAATATTCAAAATACTGTACAGATTTCTGATACAATTAGAATGCAACAAGTCCAAGCTCTTAACACGATAGTCCAAAGATTACAGCAATATGTATTAACCTGTAAACCCCATGTCTTAGTGACCTCCCCACATAACATACATCCAGGACAGGAGGTCTGGGTTAAAGATTGGAAAAGGGAGGTATTGAGCCCAAAGTGGAAAGGGCCGTATACTGTTGTTATGTGTTCTCCCCTTGCTCGAGTAAAGTTGGCTGCACATACCCAGTGGAAAGTAGAACCCCACCCGATTCATCCATTAAAGGTAACTCTCCGAAGGACTACGAGGGATAGAAGTACAGGCTCAAGCAGTGGCCCAGTCATCTCCCAGACACAGATACTGTCAGCCAGTAGCCCAGGTACCATTTCGTTTGATGTCTGCAAAGTGGCCCAGTGGCCTACTTCCTGTGGGTCATTGTCATGGCACAGAACGTATATTCTATCCGATGTTTATATTTGCCCTTATACACACCCAGGAGGGGTTGGAAAGGGGGACTGTAGAAACATGGACGAGAGACTCTGTCCAACCTGGGATTGTGTTGCATGGGCCACTTATGCATCCAATAAAGGCAAAGGAACTTATCTCCAGATAACAAGGGTACCTCCGCTCAAAAATTGTATGCCATATCAATGTAATAATGTCAACCTTACAATACCTAACCCTCAGCAATGGATCTCCAGATATGGGTCAACAATGGGAATTAGATTGTGGGCACAAGGCACTGATCCAGGAGGTATCATACACCTGTCTCTAGAAACCAGGTATCACCCTACTAAAAACTACACTAGGTACTTCTCTGAATTTTGATATCAAGTTCCAACCATCCCAGCAGGCTCGCAATCTATTCCTGGAATTGGCCTCTACCATAGCACATACTTTAAATGTTACTAGCTGCTACGTATGTGGGGGTACTAAAATGGGGGATCAATGACCATGGACAGCCCAGGAATGGAACTACTCAGTCAACTATAACTTAACGGCCATGCCCAGACATCAGCCCCAGTCCAGGTGGGAACTAGATACTCCCATTGTAGCCCAATGGTGTTTGGCAAGCTCACAGGGGGAGGGACCATCAATAGGGGAAACAGACTGTCTAGAAGTACATGAATGGAACCAAACCACCAAGTCTTGGGAGTACTGGCCACATAATACAAACAAATTCTGGTCCAACTATTCATTGGAGAACATTACTGAAGCACCTCCTGGTGTACACTGGATTTGTGGCATTGTAGCTTATAGTGCCCTACCTTTGAAATGGAAAGGAGCATGTACTTTAGGTGTCATTAATCCTGCCTTCTTTATGTTACCACTCAATCTGCCCCAAGTAGTAAAAGCTGACCATTGGACCAGTAGACAATTAAAGGCAGATTATAAGATAGGGGATTGGAGTGATGATGAGTGGCCCCTTGAACGGATCATCCAATATTATTACCCGCCATTTGAGCCGTTGATGGCAGTTATGGCTATCGCACCCCAATATATATGTTAAACTGCATTATCAGATTACAAGCAGTTGTAGTATTGGTTGCAAATGAAACGGCTCAATCTCTACGCACACTAGCAATCCAGCAGAAAAGGTTTAGAGATGCAATATACCAAAATCGTCTGGCCCTAGATTTCCTCCTAGCCACTGAAGGAGGAGTGTGTGCAAAATTCAACTTTACAAATTGCTGTCTGGAATTCGATGATGTTGGTGAAATCATTGAGCAACGTGCTAGACGTATAGAAAACCTTGCGCATGTACCTGTCCAAAAATGGAATGGGTTCGAATTTGGTGAAATATTTGGCTCTTGGTTCCCTAAATTACCTGGTCTCCAAGCCATAGTTGCACTTATTGGAATGATAGCAGCAGGATGTGTTATTCTACCGTGTATTCTCCCCATCTTTGTACGGACAATCTCTAACAGTCTTTCTATGCTAGTAGAAAAAAAGGCAGCTGCTAAGGCTATGGTTTTGTGGGAATATGAGAAGTTAAACACAGTAGAAGGTATCTCTCCCATCCGTGAAACTCCACAATAATCTAAGGATTTAGGTGCAGTTTCAAAGGGAATGGAAAATTACCAGAAAAGTATTCTTATAATTAGCAGAAGTTTCTTAGCTTTGCTTAATACAATATTGTGTAAACCACGAAATTACTAAACCTAAGAACTAGACATGTTCCTGTAAACAAGGGTGGGTATGGAAAATAACAGATGGTGTAAGATAAGAAAAAATGACTAATTAGACTTACTTCTCTTTTCTGTAGTACATAGGTTATGGTATAGCTTGATAAGAGAAACGCCCCGGGCTAGGCTGAGGCTGTGAGCTGTATAAAAGTAACACCTCAGGAAGAGCCGGGGGTTCAGAATTTGCCATGCTAATGCTCTGAACCTTTTGCGCAAATAAACCTGTATCCTCCTACCCTTCGTGGTCTTGTGTCCTGATTTGGAAACAGGATCTGCTGCAACACATAGAACAATATCGGACCTCTGAAAAGTATAAGCACGCATATGTACTCAGTACTTGGTTTGGGCCCCTTTTGTAGCAATTACTGCCTCAATGCGGCATGGCATGGAAGCTATCAGCCTGTGGCACTGCTAAGGTGTTATGGAAAACCAGGATGCTTCAATAGCGGCCTTCAGCTTTCTGCATTGTTCAGTCTCATGTCTCCCATCTTTCTCTTGGCAATGCCCCATAGATTCTCTATGGTGTTCAGGTCAGGCAAGTTTGCTGGCCAATCAAGCACAGTGATCCCACAGTCATTGAACCAGGGTTTTCCCCATAAAGCTTGTTTGCGGAAGGAAGCATGAAGTGCTCCAAAATCTCCTGGTAGACGGCTGCGTTGACCCTGGACTTAATGAAGCACAGTGGACCAACACCAGCAGATGACATGGCTCCCCAAATCAACACAGACTGTGGAAACTTCATACTGGACTTCAAGCATCTTGCAGTGTGTGCCTCTCCATTCTTCCTCCAGACTCTGGGTCCTTGGTTTCCAAATGAGATGCAAAAGTTGCTCTCATCAGAAAAGAGGACTTTGGACCACTGAGCAACAGACCAGTTCTGTTTTTCTTTAGCCCAGGTAAGACGCTTCTGACGTTGTTTGTTGTTCAGGAACGGCTTGATAAGAGGAATATGACATTTGAAGCCCATGTCCAGGATCCGTCTGTGTGTGGTGGCTCTTGATGCACTGACTCCAGCCTCAGTCCACTCCTTGTGAAAGTCCCCAACACTTTTGAATGGCCTTTTCCTGACAATCCTCTCCAGGCTGCGGTCATCCCTGCTGCTTATGCACCTTTTTCTTCCACACTTTTCCCTTCCACATAACTTTCTATTAATGTGCTTTAATACAGCACTTTGGGAACATCCAACTTCTTTTGCAATTACCTTTTGAGGCTTTCCCTCCTTATGGAGGGTGTCAATGATGGTTTTCTGCACAACTGTCAGGTCAGCGGTCTTTCCCATGATTGTGATTCCTACTGAACCTGACTGAGAGACCATTTAAAGGCTCAGGAACCCTTTGCAGGTGTTATGTCTTAATTCGCTGATTAGAGTGGGACACTTTGAGCCTAGAATATTGAACCTTTTCACAATATTCTAATTTTCTGAGATTGTGGATTTGGGGTTTTCATGAGCTGTAAGCCATAATCATCTCAATTATGACACATCACGGCTTGAACTATCTTGCTTTGCATGTAATGTGTCTATCTCATATATTAGGTTCACCTTTTAAGTTGCATTACTGAAATAAATGAACTTTTGCACGATATTCTAATTTTTTGAGTTTCACCTGTACAATTAGTACAGCCCCCCCCCCAAGGCTGTGTGCTTTCTCCACTTCTCTTCTCCCTATATACCAATGACTGCATCTCAAACGATTCATCTGTTAAACTACTGAAGTTTGCAGATGATACAACAGTGATTGGTCTCATTTGAGACGATGAATCCGTATACAGACGGGAGGTTGTACAACTTGCCTCATGGTGTGACCGGAACAATCTGGAACTGAAGACACTCAAAACCGTAGAAATGGTGGTAGACTTTAGGAGGAACCCTCCCATACTACCACCTCTTACAATACTAGACAGCACAGTATCAACAGTAGAGACCTTCAAATTTCTAGGTTCTATCATATCACATGACCTAAAATGGACACCTAACATCAAAAATATCATCAAAAAACCACAACAAAGAATGTTCTTTCTGAGCCAACTCAGAAAGCTCAAACTACCCAAGGAGCTGCTGATACAGTTCTACAGAGGAATTATTAAATCTGTCATCTGCACCTCTATAACTTTCTGGTTTGGTTCTGCAACCCAACAGGACAGACACAGACTTCAGAGAGTAATTAGGACTGCAGAAAAAACAATTACTAACAACCTGCCTTCAATAGAGGACCTGTATACTGCATGAGTCAAAAAGAGGGCTGTGAAAATATTTACAGACCCCTCACATCCTGGACATAAACTGTTTCAACTCCTACCCTCAAAATGACGCTATAGAGCTCTGCTCACCAGAACAACTAGACACAAGAACAGTTTTTTACTGAATGCCATCACTCTGCTAACAAATAATTCCCTCAACATTGTCAAACTATTTACTAAGTCTGCATTACTATTACTATTAATCCTCCCATCCTTCCTTTCACCCATCTCCTCCCACTTATGAATGTATGACTGTAACCTTGTTGCTTGCATCCTAACAATTTTTATTGACTGTTTCCTAGTATGATTTGTTTGCTTATTGTACCCTATGACTATTATTAAGTGTTGTTATCTTATGATTCTTGATGATTGTATCTTTTCTTTTATGTACACTGAGAGCCCATGCACCAAGACAAATTCCTTGTGTATCCAATCACACTTGGCCAATAAAGAATTATATGTTCTATGTTCTATGAACAGGATTAACATATTACCTTCCCTAAAGAGCTGGTAAACATCTGGATGTGATTTCTTTCTTTCTTGGTAAAGTCTGAGTGTGATTTCTTTCTTTCTGTCAAAGATCCAAGGGATGTAGTTAATATTAACTGCTGGGCAGCAGATTCAAGGTAATGCAAATCTCATACTGTCTTTGAAACTGTATCAGAGTAGCAAAAGGGGTGGGGGGTGTCTTCTGTTCCTTTAACCATTTTTTTTTTTTGCTTACCCAGGGGTGGGATTCAAATTTCTTAACAACCGGTTCTGTGGGCATGGCCTAATTTGTCGGTGTGGCTTGGTGGTCATGTGACTGGGGTGGGAGTGGATTGCTGACTGGGCATGGCTAGGTGGTCATGTGACTGGCAAACCAAATGCAAGTGGTCCTCGCTTAATGGCCAGTTGCTTAGCAAGTGTTTTTTTGCCAGTTTCCAAGGCCTGGGGGGTCCTGGAGAGGGCAGGGCGAGGCCCGGGCAGCTGGCCATGTGACTGGCAAACCAAGTGGTCCTCGCTTAATGACCAGGTCCTCGCTTAATGGCCAGTTGCTTAGCAAGTGTTTTTTGCCATTTTCCAAGGCCTGGGGAGCCCTGGAGAGGGCTGGGCAAGGCCAACTCAACATCACTTCTTTGCCCTAATGACTAAGTATTAAAAAAAGATATATGAAAACAAAATGTAGTTTATTATGTCATGTCTTTAATGCTTAAATAATAAAAAGGTACACAAAACTATATTGTTACATTTTAAAATATTAATCAAAAAATATTAAATAACAAAACTTTACAAAAAACAATAAAACATATTTAAAGTACTGCCAAATTGCTTTTCTATTATCATCCCGAGTTACAGTTTTCTTGTGTTTAACACGAGCATCATCAGCTGTGTGATGTGCCCATAACCACTTCTTTACTATAGGAACAGGGTCCCATTCTTGCAGAGGTAAGCCAATTAGACTGATGGTCAAGAGGTTTGTAATATTGGAAACTGTAAGGTGACTTCTGCCCTCTGAACATATTATGTTCATCTGCGAGAAGCCCCTTTCCGCCTCTGCTGAACTGACTGAAATAGTTTTAATAATATCTCTAGCCTTTTTAATGCTGCAAGGAATTGTAAAAATTTTTAGAATCTTTTAGTACATTTTCTATGAAATCACGATAATCATTAATATTGATTTCATAATTGAAAATTTCACCAAATGCAACCAATTGTTCTTCAGCTGCTCTCCATGGAACCACCACTTCTTCAATGCTCCAATAATCTGGCTTCAAATAATTTAGAAATTTTAATTGATCAGTGTCTTTAAATTGGCAGCCTGTTTTTAAATGTTCACAATCCATCAATCTTTTCTTCAAATTAGTTACAATCAACGATAGATAGATAGATAGATAGATAATAGAAAGATTGATGACAGATAGATGATAGTTACTTAGGTAGTAGATGATAGATAGATAGATAGATAGATAGATAGATAGATAATTACAGATAGATGATAGATGATAGAGAGATAAATAGATAATAGAAAGATAGATGACAGATAGACAGACAGACAGACAGATAGAAGGATAGATAGATAATGGAAAGTTAGATAAATGACAGAAAGATGAGAGATAGAGAGATTAATGGATGGAAGGAATTGATTGAAAGCTAGAGATAGATAGATGATAGATAGATAGATAGATAGATAATTACATGATTAGTTGATAGACAGACAGATTGATAGATTAATGGATAATTACATGATTAGTTGATACATAGATAGATAGATAGATAGATAGAGATAAATAGATAGATAGAGAGATAGAGAATAGATACATAGTTAGATAGATCGATTAATGGATAATTAGGTGATAGATTGATTAATGGCTAGATAATTAGATGATTAGATTGATAGATAGAAAGTTAGATAAATGACAGATAAATGGGGTAGAGAGAGAGATTAAAGGAATGGATAGGTAGCTCGAGAGAGAGATAGACAGAGAGAGAGAGATCATTAGATGATTTGATGATATAGATAGATGGAACAGATGGAATGGATAGATAGATAGATAGATAGATAGATAGATAGATAGATAGATAGAGACAGAGAGGCAGGCAATCAGGCAGACTGACTGATTGATTGATTATAGA